TTCATCTCGCTCTTGTCCTTGTAACATTGTTAATGTTGTTGACGTGTTTGTTGAAGTTGTTGTAGTTGTTATTATTATTATTATTATTATTATTACTGTTGTTGTTGATGATGTTGTTGTTGTTTGTATTTCTTGGAAACATCTTTCTATTCTCATCAGAGCTCTCAACAACCAACTCCTCCTCTCTACTGTCATCATCGTCATCTGCATCCAAGTTACAATCTTTCGCTTTCTTGAATTCATCATCATTTTCATCATCGTCGTCATAATTGTTATTATTATTACTATTATTATAATTATCATTATTATTACTATTATTATTATTATTGTTATTGTTATTGTTGTTGTTGTTGTTGTTGTTGTAGTTGTTGTACTTTTTATTCTTTTTTTCATCCATCTCGAAATTATTCCCATCTGTCGGTCCATCTTCGCAGGCCTTATCGCTGTTAATTTTTTGACGATTTTTGTCAAGAGCCCCATCCGCCATTTTGTTTTTTCGATCGAGCGTCACGTGATCAAACGCTAATTTCTTGCCGTCATCCTCATAGTAACCCATCTCCTCGACCCTATATTTGATCTTTGGTAATGAATTTTTGGCCGTCCATTTCCTGTTCGGGTAGGTTGCGGTTTTAATTTCCGGTTGGTTGCTTTTTTGAAATTTGTGATTGATTTTGTCGGATGCTGCTGCTGCTGATGACGACGATGATGATGATAATGATGATGATAATGATGATGATGATGAGATGGACGACGACGACGATGATAGCAGTGATGATGACAAAAACATCACCACATCCAGATACTTTCAAGCTGGTATGAACGAGATGATGAGACAATACATGGAACAGCCGGCAAATGCGTTTCTAAACTTTCAACAGCAACAATTTAACTTTTTGCAACATCAACAACAACAACAATGGAGTGACAACAACAACAACAAAAACAAGAACAAAAATAATAATAATAACACCAACAGCAGAAAGCGGAAGTTTGATCAAAACAACAACAGCACAGACATTAATATCAATTTTGCTGTCAAAAAAACATTTACGGATGACGTAGAAAAAAAGTTGGATGATACAAACTACAACAACAACAACAACAACAACAAAAATAATAATAATAATCACATTAACAAAAATAATGATGATGATGATATTTATGGCGATGACGACGAAGATGATGCAAAGATCATAGATGTTGTTGCAATTAAAGCTGAAACAGACAACAACAACAACAACAACAACATCAACAGTAAACCGAGATGCAATAGAAGTAATAATGATGAAAATAACATTAACACAAGTATTAATAATAATAATAATAACAATCACTCAACTTTAAACTATAATCCACTTTTACAATTTCCGTTTAATCCGTATTTAGTTGGGCACTGGATGAACCAAAACAGCAATAATTACAACAATAACAACAACAACCAAAACAACAATAAAAATAATAATATTAATAATAATAATGATAATGATAATGATGACAACGAGAGTAAAAGTGATGCTGATTGCTACGCCAATATGTCTAAGATGAGGATGACAAACGAACTCGACGATAACAACATGTGTGCCGACGGTGATGGTGCTGGTGCAAAGGATTCGTTGAAAAATTTGGAAACTGACAAACGCACATGTGAAACGCTGCAACAACCACTGCAGCCACAGCAGCAGCAGCAACAGCAGCAACAACAGCAGCAGCAGCAACAGCAGCAACAACAGCAGCAGCAGCAACAACAACAGCAGCAGCAGCCACAACAGCAGCAACAACAACCACAACAGCAGCAGCAACAACAGCAGCCACAACAACAAAACTCTTGCAAAAACAAAATTTTATTCTCGGCGGAAAGTTTGCTCGAGAATAAACCTTCTATTAACAACAATAAGAACAGTAACAACAGCAGCAACAGCAACATTAAAAACAGCAACAACATTAGCAATAACTACAACAACAACGAAAAAAATGTTCCTAGCCCTCAAAACATTAACGTAACAGAACATATGAAGTTGAGTTCAAGCGAAGTTCACAAAGATACAGAGAATGGTTGTTGCCAAAATGATATAAACAACAACAAAAACAACAACAACAACAATAATAACATCAACAACAGCAGCAGCAGTAGCAGCAACAACAACAACAATACTGACGACAGTAACAATGATGACTTCACTAGCAGCCCAAATAGTAGCTTCCCAGCCACACATGCAACTGCACCTCATTTTTTTCCGAGCTTTTTGAATCCGGCTTTCGCAAAGTTGAGAGCTTTCTTAGAAGCCATGAAATGGAACGAACAAAAACATTTCTTACATTTAAAATTGCAACAGCAGCAGCAGCAACCACTACATGACCACTTTCAACAGCAACAACGCAATTTTTATTTTTCTCAAGTCAGCCCCGAGTCGTTGCCGACATTAGCCACACAGAGCAGCTACGACAGCAACCACAACAGCCACAACAAACTCTACCAAGACATAACTAACTTTATAAACAACGAAAAGTTCAAACAAACATTCAGCAGCTGCAGCAACCACAGTGTCGTCAGCAGTCCAATCGCGAAGAAGAAACGAACCAAAGTCACGGATACTCGCTTATCTCCAAGGGCTGCCAGAGCAATGATGCACGAGAGCATTTCGCATCACCATGGCAACATCATCAACAACAACAACATTGATAACATCAACAACATTTTGTGCAACAACAATGCTATGAATAAAATCTACAATGAGGGCCGTAATCCAAACAACTGTAACGTCAATAATTTTCTCCCACCTACTGACAACAACAACAACAACAATGCTGAATCACTATCACCAAATTGCGGACAGACTTGTGAACTTGAAAAATCGTCAGACAAGTCCAGCAGTCCTCCTCTGAAACACCCAACCACAACCATCAACCAACAACAGCAAATTTGGCATCCTTTTGATTTATTTAAAACAAACCAACAACAACAACATCAGCAACAACAGCAGCCACAACATCCTCCACAGCAACTTCTACTGCCACAAACCCCATCCTTGCAACCGCCCGACACCTACCCACCATTTTTCTTTCCTCCACACATTGTTGCGGACCTTCTGAAGAACGGAAACCATCTCAACGAGAGTAGCAAGTTTCCATTTTTCCCAAACCCATCATCACACGCTGCGGCGTTCAACTACTTTTCATACTACCACCATCACCAACAGCATCACCCGCCTACAAATCCGGCGAGTTTTTTCACGGCCGCATTTACACACGGACTCTCAGAGGAGTACATACGCAAGATGAAGACCATCAGAAAGTTATCCCCATCGTCGCCATCTTCACCGCAGACGCTCGTTTCTGCCAACGCTGTAGCCACCACTGCAAATCCTAACTTGTCAGTAGTTGCGGCGTCTTCATTGGCCTCAAGTGACTACAACTACGGTAGCCACAACCAGTCTACTGTTAGAGATTCTCTCTTATCGCGCTCCAGTCCAATCAACTACCAAGGTTCCAACTCTTTACCATACTCTCACTCTCATCACCATCTCTCTCAACATCATCATCCTCCCCCTCTTCCTCCTCCTCCTCAACACCATCACCCTTACTCTCACCCCTACCGCCATGTTGTCGGCCAGTCATCTAACCTTCACCTCCATCACCACCAATCGTCGCAACTTCCGATTGGCAGCCATTTCCGGTTTCATCATCAGCAGCAGCTGCCGACGAAGTTATCCGGATACGGAAGTGGTGGCCGCCTGAAGGGACAACAACAACAACATCATCATCATCACCATCATCAACATCATCACCAGGGCACGCCCTCAAATTATTTAGGAGGCGGAGGGCTGATGAGGTACGGGGCTGATGTGGAGAGGAATTACGATGGAGCGGACGGCCAGCATCTTATATCCTTTTTCTTGAAGAGATTTTTTTTTGCTTGTCGATGTTGTCACTACAAATGTTTATTATTATTATTATTTATTGTTTATTATTGTTATTATTTTTTAAACAGTAAATGTTTATTCGGGATGTTCCAATCAAATTTGTTTCATATTCGGCATCTGTGTTTTGTCCTTAATGGATCAATTTTATCTATCCTGGCACCCACCATCATCATCATCATCATCATCAACATCATCATTCTTTTTCTTCTTTTTATTGTTATTATTATTTTCATCGTCATCATGGTTTCTTTCAAATTTTTCCAACAAACACACCAGTACCCTAACCCCAATGCATCTTAGGAAGGCCAAGCTCATGTTCTTTTACGTCAGGTAAGACCATAGCGATGATGGTGATATTGAAACATACAAACAAACATACAAACACATACACATACAAACAAACATACAAACAAACATACATACAAACATACAAACAAAGGTATCCAAGTTCTGCTATACTTAAAATCTACTTCCCCGACGTTCGTTTCAACAAGAACAACACCGCTCAACTCGTGAAGTGGTTCAGTAATTTCAGGTCAGTAATTTTATTATTATTATTAATAATAATAATTATTATTATTATTATTATTATTGTTATTATTATTATTATTGGTGTTGTTGAGGTTGGCCCATTCTCATAACGGCGTTTCCTTGCACGGACTATTAAATATTGAATGTGTTGATTGAGGCTTATGTGTATGTTTGTCTGTTTTGGATGTGTGTGTGTGTGTTTTGTGTGTGTTTGTATTGGGTCTGTGTGTGTTTTGTGTGTGTGTTCTGTGTGTGTGTGTGTGTGTGTGTGTGTGTGTTTTGGGTGTGTGTGTGTGTCTTTTTAAAAAACAAAAACACCGCAATATATATTTTGTATATATTTTGTATAATATTTGAGTATATACGTAAGAATTTATTTATTAATGTGTGTATGTATGTGTGTGTATGTATGTGTTGTGTATGTATGTATGTATGTGTGTGTGTGTGTGTATGTATGTTTGTGTGATATATGTGTGTGTGTATGTATGTTTGTGTGATATATGTGTGTGTGTGTATGTATGTTTGTGTGTAGGTGTGTATACTTGCGTACATTTCAAACACCCACACACAGATAAACATATTGAAGATTGTTAATAATATTGACTATTGAAGATGCATATTATGTGAGTTATGTTGCATCTAATTTGTATGTCAATGCGTACATACAAACACACGCACACACACACATACAAACCCACACACACACTTTCATGCATACACATACATACATTCATACACATGCGGACATACTTGAATGTACACACGTTTGTGGGAAAGGATTTATACAGAAATGTGCACACTTAGTATCATTAATACCGGTATAACATTAAAAACCCCATTACAATCTCATGAGCGTATGTGTTTGTATGCACTTGTATGCTCGTACGTACAATCACATAGAGGAAGAATAGGGAGAAAAAAAGACAGAGAAAGACAGAGAGAAAAAGAGAGGTAGAGAGAGAAAGAAAGAGAGAGAGAATCATAGAGGCATAAAAAAATTATGAAAATTTTTCAAGTATGATTACAAAAGAAGTTTGTAAAATTGATGTATAAAAATGTATAAAATAGAGAGAGAGAGAGAGAGAGAGAGAGAGAGAGAAAAGAAGAAAGAGAGAGATGAAAAGATAGTTAAAAATAAAAGATGCCTAGATAGTTGGATCGATTGTGCAAACTTGAGGAGAAAATGAAGCAAATATAATTTGCCAAAAACTCCGTTGGTTGGCAACAGATGTTTGCAGCAAATTCATAAAAAACTTCAATCTGCAGAGTTTCAAAAATCGCTCAAAAAATTAATTATCTCGAGAAATGGAAACAACAACGGCTTGCATGGATATCTTTATAAAAATACTATCTTTTAAACTAGTTTTCCAAATAATATATAAAGATACTACCCTTTAAACCAGGTTTTCAAACAATGGCTCTAGTTTATTAGAATTGTATTTATAGCAGCATCTTTAGTACTAGCCACATAAATAGCTGCAGTTGTAGCCGCAGCAGTAGCAGCAATTACCACAGCAGTGGTAATAGCAGCAGCAGTAGTAACAGCAGTAGTAATAATTCTAGCAATACTACTGAAACTACTTTTGGTAGTAGTAGTAGTAGTAATTTTTAAAATTTTACACTCGTGCTTGCAACATACCAGCATGATCAGAGCAAGAGAGAAAAAGATAGATAATAATAATAATAATAATAACAATAATAATAATAAAATTAATAATAACAACAATAATAATAGTAGTAGTTAGAACGATAACAGAGAAAAATATTATTACAGCTAAATAATATGTAGACGCAAAGCCAGAAAAAAACTTAACTTACATAAGCGCACATCAACAAAAATAAACGAACACATACACACGTACAAACACACACACATGCACAAACGTACAAACACACACATACACAAGTACAAACAAACACACACACAAGTACAAACACACACACACACACACAAAGGCATAATACAAAACAAAGAGATATTAACAAACAAATGATTCTTCATTGTTAATTATGTCCAATAAAATTGAACGTAATAATGCACTATTAGCAAAACATCGGATGAAATTCTGACGTTTTGAACAATCAAACGGACAGACGACTGTGGAACTTGTGCTCGCACACACACACACACGCACGCACGTACACACGCACACACGTACACACACACGTGTAGCATGCATACAAATTGCTTTGCAAACAACTTAAGAATAAAGAGGTAAAATCACTTTGCAATAGAAAAAACGAAGTGAAGATAATTCGCTACACTAATGAGAGATAGAGAGAGAGAGAGAAAAGAAAGAAAGAGAGAGAGAGATGGGGAGAAAAAGAGAGAACAACAGACACTTACAAGGCAACAAAAACAACACACAAATGTCCACGAATCGTTAATCACGTGACACTTATAGGGGCTTATGACGTCAACGACTCTCGCCTCCTGATGACGTAAACAAAAAGATAATAAAAAAAGAAGTCTCAGAGAAGGAGTTAATGAAAAAATAGAGAGAAAGAAAGAGAGAGAAAGAGAGAAAAAGAGGGAGAAAGAGAGAGAGAGAAAGAAAGAAAGAAGAAATTAAAGAATAAAAAGAGTGAAAGAAAGATGAAAATAAAAAATGTTGGTATGAAAACGGAAGTCGACTTCAAATATGCTGGATATTATCGACCTACATATGTTCAAATTTGTCTATCGCCTTTATTTCTTGTATATCACAGCATGTTTGTTTGTATGTGTGTTGTTTGTATGTTTGTTTGTATGTTTGTTTGTATGTTTACGTGTTTCTATGTTGGGTATATGTATGTTGGGTGTATGTATTTATATCATTTTGTTCGCTAATATATACGTGTTTGTGTGTATGTTTGCGTGTGTACGTATGTATATGTATGTTTGATTTTCTTTTTATGTATACATATACATATGTGTGTGTGTTTCATTGGTATAAATATTGGTTTATTCTGTACATCTGTATGCATTTTTAAATGTGTTTATCGAATGAACGTTATACAATGTTTTTTATTCACCATCAATTTTGCTCGGGACTCCAATTTATATCGAATTCAACAACAAAAAAGAAGTATTAGATACAATTATATATATATATATATATATATATATATATATATATATATACAACAACAACTACTACACACATACATACACACATGCACACCCACACACAAACAAACATACATACATATATACATACAATATTTTATAAATTCTACCGAATGTGAATTTATAGAAAATTGTAAAAATTATGGTCTATTACCAACATTTACACATACACACATACACACATACATTCAAAAACCAGTTTACATGTACATAAATCCTATAATTGAGGGATACATAGAGGCAAGGATAAATACACATCAAGATACGCACACAAACACACACAGAGGTGGACCCACACACACACACGCACACACACACACACACGCACACATGACACACGCACACATGACACACGCACACACACGACACACGTGCATTAGTGGAGTTAAAGCCCAATCGGATATTAGCGAATGTTTGTTCAGTTATTGTATTTGTATTAGAATCCATCTTTAAGTGTCTCACTGACTGACTGCCTAGCTCATGACGGAGATGATGAAGAAGAAGATGATGTAGAAGATGATGATGATGAAGAAGATGATAATGAAGAAGATGATGATGAAGAAGATGATGTAGAAGATGATGATGATGAAGAAGATGATAATGAAGAAGATGATGATGAAGAAGATGATGATGATGATGACGGTTACGAGCGTTTTTCTTTTGGATCACAATGTGGTAGAACGAGACGGTTTTTAGATTTGAAATCAGTATAAAAAATTATTTTATAAGCGTTCAATGTTATTATGGGCAAGACAAATCCTCTATGTCAGTGTAATATGCTGATGTCAATTGTCAGGTAATTTAGCTGTTGTTGTTGTTGTTGTTGTTACGATAGGATGACGTGTGATGGTTTTATATATACAAATACATATATACACACACACATATATATATATTCTTTATATACATATATGTATATATATACATGAATATGTATTATCCATATTATATATACATATCTAATTTAATGATGATATATATGGTGGTTTAATTGTGATATATGCGATGATTTAACTATAATTCTTTCACGAATCAATTCGTCATCGCTTTTTAATTTCATTCTTCCGGACATCAATTTTCTTCCATGTTTTTCGTTCACTCGTTCATTCATTCGTTCGTTCATGCACTCATTTTTTTTGTCATGCATTCATTCATTTTGAATTCTTCCTCCAATCATTTTACAAACAGCTACATTATTTTCTGCTCGTTTATCCATTTAACCAACTATGTTTTCATCCATTCTATCATTCATTCATTCATCCAATCATTCATCTATTTACTCATCCATCCATCTATTCATTCATTCATTCATTTTTTTCTCCATCCACATCCATCCATCATTTTTTCATCCCTTCCGTCACTCAGGCACTCAGTCACTCCTCCCCAACGCAATATTTGTTATTGACGACGTGCAGACGGACGGGACCTTCTTGCTATTTATGATCTTTTGAACTCGTCCGCCGGAAATGTTATTCAATATCTTTGTCTTCTTCTTCCGGTTTATTGTCATTTTCTGTTAGTCCCGCGCCATTTTTTAAAACGTCGTCGTCGTCATCGTATTTTTTTTTTGAAAATTGTTATTGTTCTTATTAATTTTTTGGTTCGCAGTCCTCATCATCATCATCATCATCATCATATCATCATCATCATCACCGCTATCATCGTGGATGACGTCACCATCATCTTTTCACCCTTTCATTATTTTATTCGTTAAATAATGCGCCTCCCCACTTTAAAAATCAATCTGCCAGACGATATATATTCAGGATCACAATACCATTGTTATGTATGTATATGTGCGTGTGTGCGTGTGTGTGCGTGCGTGTGTGTGCGTGCGTGTATGTGTTTGTATACGAATACACAAAGTTTGTTTGCACACACTCTCGCTTATGAACACGTACACAAACAAATACGTATCTACTGAATGTGCTTGTCGAAATGAAGATGGTTCTCTGTCTTCTCTTGTTCGTAATTATACGAGCCGTTAGATGTGTATCTTTCTCTCTCTTTTTCTCTCTCTCTTTCTCTCTCTATCACTTTTTTTATCTATATGTGTACATATGTGTGTGTGTGTACGTATGTGTGTGTATCAGTGCTTGTATATGTATGTATGTGTGTCAGGGCTTTACATGTGCACGCATTCATATTGTTGTGATTATTGAACCAGTAGTCAATAATAATTAGGAGCAAGAATCATGTATGTGTGTGTCTGTGAGTGTGTGTGTATGTTTGTGTGTGTGAAAGAGAGAGAGAGAGAGTGTGTGTGTGTATGTTTGTGTGTGTGTGTGTGTGTGTGTGTGTGTGGTTTTTGCTCTTTGTGTGTGGGTGTGTGTGTGTGTTTATTTGCGCTTGTGTTTAAATTTGTTTGTTTGTGTATATATCAATTCTTACTTGAATGAAAATGTATCAGTATTTACTAGCTTACATTTACGCTTTAGGGACATACTTTTACGAACGTTAACTGAATGAACGAACAAACGAATTTAAAGAATGAATGAATGAATGAATGAATGAACGAACGAATGAATGAATAAATGAATGAATGAATGAATGAATGAATGAGCAGATGAACGAACGAATGAATGGACAAATACACAAAATCGGATATAGAATATTCTAAAGAGACTTTTAAAAAATCAGCTGGTTTGATGACGTATTTGATGACGTATGACAAATCAATTACTTCATCTAACAATGCCTGGAATAATTTTTAATAATAATGATAATAAATAATGAATAATAATAATAATAAACAATAATAATAATAATAACAACAGTAAAATCATTAACACGTTTTAAAGCTTCTTTCATTGTCATGGCCATAAATCATTATTATTCATTCGTATCTTCATCGTCATCGTAGTCACCTTCATCTTCATCATCATCTTCATCATCGTCATCATCATCTTCATCATCATCATCATCTTCATCATCATCATCATCGTACACGGAACACCTTCAAATAATGTTATGCACTTGCAATCTCGTCAAACATACATATATATACATACACATACATACATATACATACACATACACGCACACACATACATACACAAATACACACACACTTACAGACACACCTATAAACGTAAACAAGTTATCATTTATACTTAACACATAAACACTAAAGACAATCACAAACACACACTTACAACACATACACGCACACACACACAAACACACACACGCAGGCACGCACACACATGCACACACGAATCATGAATGATACCACTAAAAGCACCTTAATTGAAAATCTTTGCTCAATTAGGCTTCTACCTATTGTTGCTTTATAACATTTATTCTGCTTTTTTTGCCATACGTACACAATATAAGCGCGCATCGCTAATTCTCATTAAGTATGTGTGTGTATGTGTGTATGTGTGTGTGTGTGTAGTGTGTGTATGTGTGTATGTGTGTGTGTGTATGTTTGTGTATGTGTGTGTGTGTGATGTTTGTATCTATGTGTTCTCTATCTTTTACTCTTTCTCTCTCTCTTTCTCCCTCTCTCCTCTCTCTCTCTCTCTCTCTCTCTCTCTTTCTTCTTCTTTCTCTCTCTTGTTCTGTGTTTTTGTTTATTTTTCTCTTTGTTTTTGTTTCTTTCTCTCTTCTTTACAAACTTTTCAAAATTGGAAGTATCAAGATGTGAAGTGAAGATAATTTGATCGAAACACCAAAGAACTATTGGAGATGCTACTAATGTTGCACTAGTACGGAGTAATATTTAAAATGACGTCACCATCCTCCTTCTCTTCCTCCTCTTCCTCTTCCTCATTATCATCATCAACAGCAGCCGCCACAGCAGCCACAACAGCATCATCATCATCTCCATCTTAGTCATCGTCATCATCACATTGATGTCATTGTTATTTGTTGATAATTGATTATGAAGCAAGAGACGCATTATGCAATTAGGCCTTGTCGTCGTTTTAACGCAAGAATTCTGTTGTTGTTGTTGATGTTGTTGTTGTTGTTGATGTTGTTGATGTTGTTGTTGTTGATGTTGTTGTTTTTGTTGATGATGATGACGTTGTTGATGTTGTTGTTGTTGATGTTGTTGTTGTTATTGTTGATGTTGATAATGTTGTTGATGTCGTTGTTGATGTCGTTGTTGTTGATGTTGTTGTTGATGATGTTTTTGATGTTGTTGTTTTTGTTGTTGTTCTTGCTGCTGATGTTGTTGTTGATGATATGATGATTATCCTCATTTTCTTACCTTTCATAATTAACATCAGTAACGCTGTCTGTATTATTATTATTACTATTATTACAATAATGATAATTATTATTATTTTTATTAATATTATTATCGTCGTCATCGTCATCATCAGTGCGTTAAACAAACATACTTCTAAGCATAAGCAAGCATGTTGTCAGACATCTGCTTAAATCATCTTCATCATCATCGTCTTCTTCTTCTTCTTCTTCTTTTTCTTCTTCTTCTTCTTCATTGTTATCATCATCACCACTATCATCATTATCATAATCTATATAACAATCATACAAGCATACAAACACACAGACACACACGCATACATACATACAAATATACATACAAACATACATACAAACATGAAACTTTCAACACGAATGTGCGAATTTGTCACGAGCCGATTTCTTCTTCCCAATACATCAATAAAAAACATGTTTTTAGATGTTTGTTGCCAAATTATTAATTAATTTATTAATCAAACATACATACACACAGACACACAAGCACACATACATGCAAACACACATACATGCATACATACACACACACACGTACATACATAAATGTGTCTTCAAAAATATTAATGCTTAACGCTTATAGACGTACATTACATACTATACCACAAACATCTATACATACAAAAACAAACATACAAACATTTATATATGCAAACATATATACAAACATACATACATACATACATACATACCTACATACAAACAGACAGACAGACAGACATTCATACATGCAAACATCTCGCTTGCTTGCTGAAGATGTATACTAACTCTCTCAATGTAGGTACATTTGAAGAACGAGTGATAATAAGAATGAGTGATAAGAAAAATGATGATGATGGTAATGATAACGATTGTGACGATGATGATAATGATGGTGGTTTTCATCATCTTTATGATGACGATTATTGTTTTTCATATTATTATTATTATTTTTATAAACGTTATTTCTATTATTAGAAAAAACAATAATGACGAAATGTCGTCATCACTATCATGATCAACGTCATTCTTACAATCATCATCATCATCACCATTAACAACAACATCATCATCATCGTCTTCAACAACAACAACATCATCATCGTTGTCTTCATCAACAACATCATCATCATCATCGTCATCTTCATCGTCGCCGTCGTCATCATGTTTTTGTTTCTCCTCCGCAGTTTATAATTTTGAAAAGTAGCTTTCTCGCTGTATGGAAAAGACCGCACTCATGTTTACTTCCGGTTCTCATGGAACATCTAAAAGTGAACTTATGAAATGAAGTGTCCCGGCTCTCTTTCCGCTTTTTTGTATCACTCTTTTTTGTGACTTTTTTTTGTGTTTCTGTGTTTTTTTTTCTTCTGTTTCTATGTTCTCAACGTTCTCGAACGGATGTCGTTATTATTATTATTATTATTTCTATTATTATTATTATTTCGATGCTTTTTTATTTTAAAAAATTGTTGCGAAATTTTCTTTCGCCACAAACATTTGTGTTTCTGCCAATGTGTTGAACAATTTTTTCTAAAGAACGTGTTTATTGTGAGTTGGTTTTTGTTGTTGTTGCTCTGCTGTTGCTGTTGTTGATGTTGTTTGATTGTTATATCTACTCGACTCTGTGTAAGGCTCACTTTGTATGGAAAGTAGGTAGGCAAGAATAAATTAAGAGTGAGTAAATGAATGAACGAACGAATGAACGAATGAATGAATGGATGAATGGATGAATGAATGAATGAACGAGTTGAATGAATAAATGAACACACGCGCACACACGCACACACACACATTCACACACACATTCACACACACACACACGTCCTAGCAACTGCATAAAAGACGTTTTAAACTTGTATTAACTTTTAAACGTGTTGCATTCGCCATTATGCTGGCGACGATGATCAATAAGCGGAAATGAATTATATATATTTATATATTTCCGGTTCATATGGCTCCGCATACATACAAACATACATACGTACATACAAACATACATACAGACATACATACATACATACACACACATACATACATACATACATACATACAAACAAATGCATTTTTGCCCTTTTCTCAAGAGATGCGAACGAGAATTGAGCGGGAAAATATAGGTAGACAAATGATGATGATGATGATGATGAAGAAGATGATGATGATAATGATGTTAAAAGTGATGATGACGATGTCGAAGATGATGATGAAGAAGAAGATGATGATGACGATGTTAATAATGATGACGATGACGATGCTAGCATTCTTTTAGTTACAAATAAGAATAATTAAGCACCAACAACAATAGCAATATAAGATGCCATTATAGCATTCATCCTAATAAATATTCATAATAATAATAATTATTATAAATAATAATAATAATAATAATAATAATAATTTGTACAAGAAGTGCTATATAATGTTTACTAGTCACGCGGTCACATCTAAATGTGTGCATGAATTATTCACGTGTCATCAAATGTTTGTATGTTTGTTTGTATGCGTATATATGTGTACACATTCACACGCACATTTACACACACACACACATATATATAATGATAATAAATGTTATTATATATCTATGTATCAATATATACATATGTATATATATAATCGCACACTTAGACATTCGTACATGTTTCTATATATCAATATTATCAATATCAGTATTATAAATGGAAACAGATATAAAAATATTAGACAGTGATAATGAGAAAGAGAGAGAGAGAGAAAGAGAAAGAGAAAGAGAGAGAGAGAAAGAGAAAGAGAGAAAGAGAAAGAGAGAGAGAGAGAGAAAGAGAAAGAGAGTGAAATAACGGGAAACATTACTCAGTAAAAATGAGAAAGAGAGAGAGAAAGAGAGAGAAAGAGAGAAAGAGAGAGAGAAAGAGAGAGAAAGAGAGAGAAAGAGAGAGAGAGAGAGAGAGTGAGAGAAAGAGGGTGAAATAACGGGAAACATTACTCAGTAAAAATGAGAAAGAGAGAAAGAAAGAGAGAGAGAGAGAGAGAGAGAGAGAGAGAGAGAGATAGAGAGAGAAAGAAAGAGAGAAAGAGAGAGAGTGAGAGAAAGAGGGTGAAATAACGGGAAACATTACTTTATATTAGAAGCAATCTAACGAGTTTGATGACAATGCAACTGTAACTGCTGTTATCTCGGCTATATTATGTTCTTGCCTTTTTTCTTCACACACACACACTCACACACATACACACACACATTCACACACACACGTACACACACAAACACATATACACATACATACATAAAGGCACACGTATGCCCCCACAAAAATACACACAACTATCATTTGTAGACACGTACGTGCAGCATGTTTAACATGTTGTAAGTTATTTCTTTGATTCAATGTTTTCACGAAGTTAATAATAATAATTATCCCGTCCCGTCCACACGAAAATCAATTTAGATAGAATCCTTTTTATCATACTTACCAACAAACATACACTCACAAACACACACCCACACACACGCACACACACACATACATGCGAACGAACAAACAAACAAATAAACATATAGCAAAACATTGGAAAACACATTTACTTGCATACAAACCCATAGACAGACATCTCGATCGAGGTGTCTGTTTATGATACAAACCAAACCAACACATATATACAAATTCAAACAAACACACACACAAACACACACACTCAAACACATACACAAACACACACACACACATATCCACAAACACACACACACACACAAACAGACACAAACATACACAAACATACAGAGAGTTCTACT